GGGACGTCGATGGAGCAGTAAGGGAGAGGTCCAGCTTCCTCCGAGGCTGCATCCACGTTCTGCTCGTCCCAGTCAGCTTCGTCTGCTGCTGAGGCAAAGACTCGGTCACCACGGAAGCCACCTGTGGGGTCCCGATCTTCTTCCAGGTTGGCAAGGTACGTTGGAAGGGTGAGTCGTTCGTAGAAGATGACATCACGTGCTGCTACTGTTTCTTTGGAGTGGACGTCGAAAATCTTCCACGCGTTGTAATTTCTTTCGATGCCCAGGTGTAGTCCCCACTGTGCGCGTTGGGAGAATCGGCCGGCTCGTGCAGATGGGGGTCGGTACTGTACCATGCAGCCGAAAACTCTTAACATTTTTGTGCTGCCCTGTTTTCCAGTCCACAGCAGGTGCGGTGATGCGTTGTTCGGGAGCGATGATGACGAAATCAAGTTGTGCAGCATGACAGCGTGGTCCATTGCTTCAGGCCACTGGTGGTTGGGTAGCCGCATGCCACGTAGCAGCTTGCGCATGGTGTTTTGAAGAGTTCTGCTCATCCTTTCTGCTACGCCTTGCTGCTGGTGAGCGTAGGGAAGAGAGATGAGCCTCTTGATCCCTCTTTCTGCCAGGTACTGCTTGAACCTCTGTGAGGTGTATTCTCCTCCTCCGTCTGACTGGAAGCCTTTTAGTTTCACGCCTGATTCTCGTTCTGCTACCGGGATCCAAGCTACGAAAGCCTCGAAGGCCATGTCCTTGCTCGGTAGGTTGAGGTGCCAAACGTAACGCATGGCGGCATCGATGAACGTGATGGTGTAACTGTATGCTCCTTGTCCAGGTTCGCGGTTGTACAGGATGTCGCTGTACACTTTCTCAAGTGGTGCATAAGCTGGTGCGCTGGGGTTGTGGTGAGAAGCGAACGGCCGATGTGGTAAGTCAGCTTCGGGGCAGGTAAAGCACATTCCACGAGCTCGTCGAAGTTCGCTTCTGTCGGTTAGGAGCAGTGAGTCCTTGTCGAGCACACCTGCTCTAATTGTGTTATTTAACACTGTGTTGCTTGGATGTCCCATTCGTGCGTGCCAGATGTCTTCGCCGGCTCGATGTCTGGGTGAGCGACGGTACAGGTTGGAGTTGGAGTAGAAGCTTGCGGTGAAGTTTGCGCTTCGATGTACTTCTCGTGGTGTTGGGTTCAGTTGCTGCGCAGGAGTCGGTGGAGTGTTGTCGTCGATTGTAACCGGTGAAGTTGAAGGACCCACGATTGGTGCCGATGCTGTCTCTGCTGCTGCCGATGTTGTCTCTGCTGCTGCCGATGCTGTCTCTGCTGCTGCCGATGTTGTCTCTGCTGCTGCCGATGTTGTCTCTGCTGCTGCCGATGTTGTCTCTGCTGCTGCCAAATGTTGAATCGTTGCTAATGCTCTTGTTCGTTCTGCCTCAGGAATGGTGTGCGAGTACCAGAATCCTTCGGGACTGAAGTTGGGATCGAGATCCGGTGGATGTGTCCAGGAGGTGAAGGTAACGATCCCGTCGCTGTCAGCGGTGCCAAGGTCTGGAACAAAGTCGAGGACGAAGACGTTATTTTTCAGGACCGCCTTCCCGATGTAGAGACCGCCCTTTCCGTGGTATAACTTGAACTCCTGTGTTGTGCTGTCTGCTTCGAGATGGATGCCTTTCGCCATCAGCTGACTGACGCTCAGTAAGTTGTAGCCGAGTCCCTCCGCAATTAACACCTTTGACATTTGCAGTATTACGTTTGTCTCTCGTGACTGAAGTTGCACCACACCTTGTCGTCGTGTGCGCAGGTTCTGGTTGTTGGCGACGGTGATGACGACTTCGCGTTGAAGTTGGTGTTCGTGTTGAACGAAGCGACCTGAAGAGCACATGTGTTGTCCGCAGCAACTGTCCAAGAACCAGGTATCCTTTCCGGATGGCTCGCTTTGGGCGATGGTTGCATACGTCGGGTTTGGTTGAAGTGACTCGCGGCGAGGCGTGCTGTTGTCGAGTTGCTCTTCCGGTGAGTAATGCGGTGGTGACTCTGTGATGCAGGAGTCGGTCAGTCGTGCCATGCAGCTGACGATGTTTCTTGTTCCTTGCGCAGATTGTCCCATCGATGTTGTTGAAGCTTGTACTTGAGTGGTCGGATTCGCTTGCGTTGAGGCGACTTGACTGCTTGAAGGGCGAAGCGGCCGCTGCGTTGGCGTTGACTGCTGCCGGTTTGGGCAGTGTGTACGGGGGTGACCTGACGTCTTACAAAGGTGACAGAACGGAGGTACTGGTTTCAGTTGATGCCGGTTGTTGTTGTTGTAGTGCCGTTGAGTGTGGAATGCGAATTCGGGCACTGATGCCTTCCTCTTGTGTCGTTCTTCTTGCAGGTCCATATCTTGCTGCTCAGCGTGGATCTCGGCGCAGAATGCTGCTTCTGATATTTTTCCGTGAGCTCGGAGTATGGTGCGAGTGGAGCGCCACTGAGGACCGAGGCCGCCGATGATGACTGTGACGAAGACGTCTTCTGAAATCGACCCTCCGCATCGAAGGAGTTTGTCGCGCAATTCGCGACAGCGGCTGATATACGCCATCCCCTTTTCGCCCGGTTTCATTTCGACTGTTGTGAGTTGCGCCATTAACCGACTTTGATTGACGCTGTCTGTTGCTTGATACAGGTTCTCCAGGTGGTTGTACGCGAGCTCTGCAGAGTTGCCGTATCCCCGGTAAGACCGTATATTCTGCTGCTGATTCGGAGTGATGTTTCTCTGTAGTATTGTGTACGCCATCATTGACTGATACGTGTACTGCTGCTTGTCGTACTGTGTGCCGTCTGTTGGATATGGCAGGGACCCGTCGAAGAAGCCAAGGATCTGCGCGCCTTCCATCATCAGCTCGAACTCGAATGACCAGGTAAAGAAGTCCTTCCCGTCGAAAGGCCTTGACGTTTGCAATTTTAAGACGTGCGCGCACTGCGACTGAACTTGAAGTGCGTCCAGTGTTTTCTCTTGTCCAGGTACAGGCTGCGAGTGTGGCATAAAGCTGGCGGAGCCGCGCTGGGGCTCGTACGGAGCAAAGGTAGGCTGCTGCTGTTGATTTCCGCGTGTGTAGGATGAGCCGTCGAGGCTCATGGGCGTCACGTCGTTGTTGTTGTTGTTGCTGTTGTTTGACTGCGCAGGTGCCGACTGTTGGTGTTGCTCGTAGAAGGACATGAAGGAGAAGAACTTCTCCATCATGTTCTGGTCGAAGTCTGCAGGTTTATTCGCAGGAGTTTCAGTGGACCCTGCTGCTGGTCTTGTCGCCGTGCCCTGCTCTGTCTGTAGGCCAGAGGCAGGAGGTGGAGTAGGGGTAGTGCCGGGAGAACCATTAGAGGAACTCCTTTCCTTCTGAGTAGCCATGCTTTCTGATGTTGTAGGTGTCTTGATAGTGGAATTTGTCCTGACTGCTCTCATACCATGTTGGGCTGAGAAAAGCCCTTAGGATCTTTGCAGGACTAAATTCTGAGTAGAATAATGTAATAGCGGAAGCGTTTAATGAAAGGTTTGTGAACCACCTTGCGCTGGTATGTGAGGGCAAAGTAGATTGATTAAAACAAAGGGATACAATCTTTTATAAGAGTACAAGGGAATATGAACAGTTATAACTAATAACTGTTTTGCTGTTGCTGTTGCGGTTCGATATAGTGACGACTCGGGCAACTGCTCAATAACGAGTCAGTTGTTTGTCCTTGCTGTCGCACTGTACTTGTCAGGTCAATGGTCGCTGACCTTTGACTTTCGCGTAACCTCCAGCAGTTGCTTAACCTCCGAGGGTTGACTCGCCGATGCTTCGATATGTTCTGCTTCGCTTATGACTTAGTGTTTCGTCACGACAGAGGCGTTTAAGTTACTTGTTTCCAACATGAAGAACACGTTCTTATACGTGCTGGTCGACGCAGTCATCTTCGTGGAGCAACCTCACACATACGGGGAAGGAGTCCCGCGAGTCTGTCAGCTGAAGAAACCCCTCTTGGGATCAAGCAGGCGCCGCGTCTCTGGCAGCAGCACATGCACAAGATTCTGCTCGAGATTGGTTTCAAGCAGCTGCCACACGACCTGGGAAATTATCGCCACTTCTGTGGCAACTACACGACCACCAGAAAGAAGCTCTCCCTCTCAGACCGAGGGTGAGGGGGGGGGGGGGGGGGCAAGGGAGTAGGGTGTGGGGGTGGCGGGTATGTGAAGGCAGCCGCCCCTTCCCCTTCTCTCTTCCGCTGCACGTCCCTTCTCCTCCCACTCTTTCTCGTGACCTCCTCACGACCGTCGTTTCTGGGCGTGGTCGCCCCCGAGGGGCACACCGGCACCCGCTTGCGAAGGGGTTCCAAGGGAGTAGGGTGTGGGGGTGGCGGGTATGTGAAGGCATCTGAGCAAGGACAAGAAGGGACGTCAAGTGGTTCTCTTGCACATCATCCCCGTGTCTGCTTGTTCTTGCTGGACTTCCACGTGCTGTACTTGCAATAGTCAGCCACCCCATATCGACAAAGGAAGCTCAAGTAATGCAGTATGGTATCGCAGATAGTACCAGTTATTGTATCATATGCAAAAGAGGGGCATGTACTGCATTGTACCATGGCTGGAAAACAATTGCTCGAATACTGTATATGGTACATACAGCCATTGTTGCATGGAGTGGAATCAAATGGACATTACATGAATGCACAGAGTGCACAGAGGGGTGTATCCTCAGCACTGCACCATAGTACAGACTTCCACCAGACTGAACCATGCAGGCAACCATTTGCACTGCACAGCACCGTTTTGGCGGAGCAAGCCTGTACTGAAGTGCAGGGACACACCACATCGTTATTGAAAAGCACAATATGTAGTCTTGTTGAAAACAGAACTGTACCCAACCTCTCAGCCTGTATACATGCGGCCTGTGGCCCTCTTGACCACACTGCTCTTCCCAGCAGCTGAGTGCACTGCTGCACTCTGTTTCGTCTCCAGACTCCAAGCCGTTGCCCCATCAAACTTCCTCTAACCCCCCCTCCCACCCCCCCTCTACCCTCACAGACTGCTGCTCTCCTTGCCCCACTCCCCCTTCACGTCCATCCCCATGCCCTCCTTTCCCCCCGCCCTCCCCCCTGCCCCTGCGCCCTCCCCCCACAAGGCGGCCCCCATGGCCCCCCGGGGGCTGCCGAAGTGAGCGAGGACGCGGCCGAGGGGGGAGAGCATTCCAGGGGAGAGCAGGCGGGGGGACATGGTGCGGGGGGAGGCGGTGCGCGGCAGGGGGGAGAGGTTGGGGCCGCGCGAGGAGGGGGAGATCGTGCAGGAGCGGGGGGAGCGGTAGGGGGAGAAGGCGGAGAGCGACTGGTTGGCGCGCAGGGAGGGGCGGGGGGGTGCTTTAATGGTGAGCCCCTTGAGGTGTGATGCTCGCCCTTTCACGCCCGCACACATGCCCCGCGCCCTGCTGCCTCCGCCAGGGGACATGCTGTGGGAGGCTGTCAGCACGCTGCTGCTGAGACCTCCGTGTGCCGATGCCCCCCCTGGCCCTGCTGCTGCTGCAGCTGCTCCCTTTTCCTCCCCACTCTCGCTCTCACTCGTCCCCTTGCTGCCCTCGCCCCGCTCTGAGCTCCGCCAGCCCCTCTCCCCCAGCCGGGACGGCTGCCTCTGTCCCCCCGAGAACAGCGCCCGCCTCCCCCTGCCCTCGCCCCTCTCCGCCCTCTCCGCCCTGCCCTCATGGCGGGCATGGGCTCCAGAGGGGGTGGAGGAGTTAGAGGCCTGGCAGGGGGAGTCCTGGGCGGGGAGGAAGGAGGAGGCATGCGGGGGCAGGGAGTAGGGGGATGCTTTATCTGGAGGTGAGGCGTACGCAGGGAAGGTCTTATCCGGCGACGAGTCGATGAAAGGTGTTGTGCCAGTAGCACCATGCGTGTTGCTCGCCTTCGCTCCTTCTCCCATCGCCCCACTGCCGCTGCTCTTCTCCCCAGTGTCCTCCTCCCTTGCACCTTCTATCCACCCCTCCTCCTCTCCACCTCCCTCCCCTTCCCCCCCTCCTCCGCCCCCCTGTGCCCCAACCCCCGCGCCTCCCAGCAGGGGAGAGCAGGCGCACTGCTCCAGGGCGGCCTGGGTACCGGGGGAGTCAGGCAGAGCAAAGGACGCCGCAGAGGGCAGGGCAGGCGGAGGGGGGAAGGGCGGAGGGAGGGGGAAGGGCGGGGGCAGGGGGAAGGAGAGAGGAGCCGCCACACACATTTCTTCTGCTGCAAACCCACCTGCGGATGCACCCAGTGGCCCTGACCCCCCGACCCCTGCGCCTGCGACGGCAGCAGCGGCAGCAGTAGCGGCGGCGGCAGCGGCGGCGGCAGCAGCGGCGAGGGTGACGGCGGCGGGGGTGATGGTGGCGGCGGCAGCGGGGGCGAAGAGCTTGAAGGGGTCCAGCAGCGGCATGGCTGGCAGGCCCGGGCCGGGCGAGAGCGAGAAGGGGCTCATGAGCGGGCCGAATAGCGGGTCCGCTGCAGGGGGGCGATGGGGGAAGGGTGGCGGGGAAAGAGGTGGTAAGGGACATGAAAAGAATTGCTTCTGATGAAGGAAGAAGCAAACGAGTTGGTGTAGAAGAGAGGAAAGCTGGAGGGATGGTAGTATTGGAGAGAGAGAGAGGAAGGAGGCGTGGTGGGGGAGTGGAAAAGAGGCACACCTAAGGGGGAGTTGAAGGGAGACAAGCTGCCTTGAAACGCCTCCTCCGACAAAAAGGCCGACAGCTGCTGCTGCTGCTGCTGCTGGTGCTGGCTGTGGTGGTGGGTGGGGTGGTGGGTGGGGTGGAACGGCTGCTGGTGCCGGTGGTGGTGCGGGTGCAGGGAGGTGTTGATGTGGGCGAGAGGGAGCGACAAGACTTGCAGGTCCGTTGCATGCCCATCACCACACCCCTTCACGCCCTCCTTGCCTTCCCCATCCGCATACCCATAGCCATGCCCCTCATGCTCATGCCCATGCCCATGGTTCTGCCCCTCTTGCATTCCCTCCTCCCCCCCATCCGTCTCCATCTTCACAGAGTGCTGCAGCGGCTGCTGCCACGTGCACTGCTCTGATTGGACGAGGAACTCGGCGGCTTGCTCTGGGATCTGCTGCAAGGGCACGTGGTGATACAGCAGCGCCAATTGGTCTGTACATTGGCCGGTGAACTGGCTGGTGGGTATCTGCAATGGCGAGACGAGCAGGCCGGGAGGGAGAGGGCAGAGAGGGGGAGACAGGGAAAGGGAAAGGAGGAAGAAAAAGGTAGATGCAATTTTTAGAAAAAAAGTATGAGTAGGACGAGTGGAGATGCGGCAGCAGAAGCACGCACAGGTCAACATTCCCTCCCACCAACCGCCACGTACCATTGCGCTCGCTTCCCCGTATGTTGCTGCCGCCTCCTCCCCTCTCCCACCCACCCCACATCCAGGCGCCGGCACGCTTGGGGCTGCATAGGCGTCAGCCGGAGGGCGGCTGTAGCAGGCGCTGTAGCTCTGGCTGTAGCTGAGAGTCTTGGGCGGCAGAGCGTGGTGGGGCGTGGAGAGGAGCAGGGAGGGGGAGGGGGAGGAGGAGGAGGGGAAGACGAGTGGCGTGGTGAGGTAGTGTGAGAAGGATCCAGGCGGGTGCGCTGGTGGCTCAGAGGCAGAGGCAGGGAGAGGAGGGGCAGGCGGAGGAGGGGGAGCAGGAGCATAGAGAGGAGAGGGAGCAAGCGGCGCAGGAGGGGCGAGCGCAGGAGCAGGGCGAGCATCAGTAGCGCCAGTGCTCCACGTGGCTCCCTGACTCATCATCTGCTCGCTGCTGACGTGGCAGCCACTGCTGCCTGCCATGGACGAGTCCAGGGAGGGCGATGGAGCAGGGGCCGGTGCAGCTGGGCCGGGCGCAACTGGGGCGGAGGATGGGGCAGGGGAGGGCGCAGCTGAGGGGGGCCGGGGTGCGATGGAGGGAGAGGAGCGGGGTGGCAGGGAGGGGGAGGGTCGTGCGCCAATGGCAGGCGAGCCGTGTGCTGACATGGCACTCGTTGATCCCACAGTGCCAGTTGGCGATGGTGCTGACGTGGAAAACGCTCGTGGTGACGGAGACGGCATAGCTGCTGCTGCTGCTGCCGCCCGGGGGGAGGGGGAGTGCGCCACTCCCCCCGTGGGGGAAGGGATTGGGAGAGAGGGCGTGGGGGGGAGCGAGCGGGGCTTGTGGGGGCCTTGGGGAGAGGGGAGGAGGGAGGAGGGGGAGGGGCAGAGCAGGGGCGCGGAGGGAGAGGGGCACATGCGCCACGAGGGCAGGTCGTGTGCCACGTCAGCGGGCGGCGATGTGATGAACTCGTGGCTGGCCTTGCCCCTCCAGCGGCGCGGTGCAGGCGAGAGGGCGGAGGCCGGCGGGAAGAGCAGCGGCCTGTGGAGGAAGGGGGAGAGGCGAGAACAGTGGAGGGAAGGGAAGGGATGGGGAGAGAAAGGGAGAGAAAGGGAGAGAAAGAGAATGAGAGGGGAAGTATAAGAGGGGTAACGCAGAGGTGCTCAGAAGAGTGGTTGAGAAAGTGGTGGAGAGGGAAAAGGGATGGGCGGTCGGGCTGCGAGGAAGGGAGGAGTGTTACCCGGCGGGCACGTCCACGGGGGCGAGGAAGGCGAGCTTGGAGGGCAGCTGCAGTCCGTTGGACGCCAGATGCAGCCCGTGGCCGCCGTGGTTACCCTGCCCGCCCTGCCCGCCCTGCCCTGCACTGCCGTGGCTCGCACTGCTGCTGCTCGCATTGCCGTTGCCCCCGCCTCTGCCGGCAGTAGCGGCGCCGGGGCCAGCGTTTCGCGACCTCTTGCGAGAGATGCTGGTGGGACGGAGGGCAGGGGAGTGGTGGAGAGGATGGAGAGGCATGGAGATGAGGCGCATGCGTGCGTGCTGGCATGGGCGGGAGTGCACTGAAAACATGTGCGTGTGATTGCGTGGCGTCAGTGGCATGGGGTGGCAGCAACAGCAGGAAACACAGGCAGCAGCAGATCGCAGCAAGCGGCTACCTGCGAATGGCGCGGGAGTAGCCGGGGGCGACGAGCAGGGGAGAGCCATCGGGGTTGAGGGGGGTGGGCGCGTTGAGGGGCGTGGCGGCGGTGAAGCACACGGCGAAGAGGCGGTTGTCACATTTGGACGACAGCACCGACAGCGCCAGCTTGAACGTCGCTCGCCCTGTGCAGGGACAAAAGGGGGAGCGGAGGCGTGGAGAACAGAGACGACAGCCGTTAGGGTAGATTCAGGGGGTGGGGGCAGGGGGACCAGCGTAACGACAGGGTAAGTACTCTCAGCACATGCAGGGTGGAATTTACCTGCGAGCATCTGCGAGGGGCGGAGGTGTGCGGGGAACTCAACGCCGTTGAAAGTGGTGAAGAGCGGTGGCTCCACCATCGCCTGCCCCTCCTCCAGCTTCACCGCACTGCTCATGCGCAAAGGGGGGAAGTGGGGGGGGTTGTGGGGGAGAAGGCAGTAGGGAACGGGATGGTGAGGGATGGGGGAGTTGGAGGAGGAGAGATAAGAGCAGGTGGCGGAAGGAGAGAGGCGTGGAGGAAGAAGGAAGAGCAGGTGCACGAATGATTGTATCCCTCTAGTCGGGAGGGTCAAAGAGCGGGCTGATGAGAGGGAGAGTGTGAGACGGGAGGGGGCGGACGGGGGAGAGGGACGGGGGAGAGGGAGTGGGGGAGGAGAGGGCGGAGGGGGGAAGGGCGGGGGAGCGTGGGTACCTGCAGTCGTGCGAGTAGGTGAGCGAGGCCGTGACAGCCAGGTCCTTGCTCACTGGGTTACCCTGCACGCACCACCATGGGGGCACGGGGCACGGGGCACGGAGAAGGAGGCGAGGCAGAGGTGAGCCGAGCGGAGGAGGGTGGGGGGAAACAGCAAGAGCGTGGGACAGGAATGGCGCAGATCAGATGCTGCCCGCACGCGCGCTGCCTCACGCGACTCTTCCCCTTCCGCCCGCCACCCGTCCGCGCGTGTGGGCGGGAGACCGCAGCAGCACTTACCTGGTCGTCCGTGAGCTGCACGTGCAGGACGAACTTCCGCCGGCAAGACGCCTTGCCGCCCAGCACCGACATCACCTGCACCAACCGCGCGAATCGCAGTCACGCCACGTCAGGCAAAACGACAACAAGCAACACGACGACCGTGCACAGATTTTGGTAGTTAACGGCGTGAGTGCGACAGGAACGAGCGAAGCATCGCCAGGTCTGGCGAGCGCGTGAGTGCGACGAGGCGGCGAGCGACGCACCTCGGGCGACCCGGGGCTGGCGTGGCCGTCCTTGCTGGGGCTGCTCACGACCAGACGATGCGTGCACACCGCCGTGGAAGGCGGCGCGGGTTGCGCGTCATCCATATCGTGCTCCATGGCGTCCGGCGCCACGCGTGCGCGGCTCCTTGCGAGACTATTTTTTTTTTTAAGAATGTCGCGCGGAGGGGCACCGTTCCTCACAACATGCTCGCGGGGGTGCAAGCGGCGTGGCCGGTACGCGTGCTGCCACTACGCACGCCGTAAGACGAGGGAGCTGAGCAGAGAGCGGCGAGCACGGAGATTGGATGCTTTGCGAGCCGTGAGGCGAATCTAAGGATCGCGAGGAGGACGACGAGGAGAGATGGTGTGATGGGAGGAAGCTGACAGAATTCAGCTGAAGTAATGCGTTCTTAAGATCAGCGGAATGCGCTTTAGAGCACGCGAGCATGCCGATATTGGACCCAAGCGGAGCCTTACAAGCCTCCGGAAGAGTGGGAGAAACGTGACGAGGAGGAGGAGGATGACGAAGGACGCTAGCAGGGTGCGTCGAGGCAGATGCGACACGAGGAGTGCCGAGAACAAACTGACTACGGCAAGGGGAAGACCGACGCGGTGGGTGGGCACGTGGCGAATCCCAGCCACAAAATGCACCACAGGATAGTTTGGCGACATCTTCCGTTATTCGCGCGTTGAACGACCGCCAGGTCCTGCTTGCAGAGATGGTACGGAGGTTGCGAAGAGAGGCGCCTCGTCAAGAAAGGATTTGATGCTGTAAGAGCGTACGACAAGTGAGTGCAACGGCTACTTTGTGGATGCGAGGAGCAGGAATGGAGAATACAGCATAGCAGCCAATGCCTTGCCGTGTCGTGCCGACGAGGTGTCGGCGGAGAAATACGGGTGAGAGAAGCCAATAGCGGAGCGAGTCAAGCTGCGAAAGCATAGCGAGTGGATGAGAAAAAGTGCAGAAAAAAGGCATTCTCGAGGCGATATTTTCCGGGAATGCACCGCGACTCGTTTTGGGAGACGGGGGGGGCTTTAGAGCCACATATGATGTGTGTGGCTGGAAGCGATTAGAAACCTCTTTACGTCCACGTGGCATTGAATGTAAGGGTGCACGAAGAACCTCATCTTCTTGAGGTTCGCAAAAACATCTGGGCAGTGGGCTGGGGAAACTATCTAGGCTAGGGTGCTGGGGAAACCGCCACGGGTGCCCCAAATATCCCTCCTCGAGCTATCAATTTTCGCAACCGCTAGATGAGAAATATCGAAAATATCGAAAACAAAAGCAACAAATAGTCCACATCGAGATACGCTGCCTTGTATATCGGGTACCTCAACTCTGGCTGGTGGCAACCAAAAAAGCATGCAGACGGTTTCTCCTAGCTGTGGCAACATGCGGTTGCGCTCGCTTCAGTAGCACTTGGGACTTTGCTCAGATCGCGTCTCTCACGCCTGCGCTCCTCCCCTGCTCGCCACGATCAGGCTCTGTGCTTGCCTCGATTTGCCCTCGCGCCGACCTCTCTGAAACGGTCTTGGCTTTCTGCCTCGTGGCGGCAGTTAGCAGCCGACAGCAGGAGGCGCGAGAGACGACGTACGAGGCAGCAGATACAGCCACGCTGCGTACGCAGCACGCGCACGCAGTTAGGATCGCCGCACGCCGCTGGATTCTCCGGCATCGGCGCCACCTGCCGCCATCTCTTTGCTGCTGCTAGAGTGGTTCGCTCTCCTGCTGCTGTAACCGCCGTCACGCTAGACTTAACAGCAGTGAGACGAGGGGTGCTGAGACGACCCTGTTAGCTGTGACCCACGTACCGCGCGGTAGGCGCTACTGGGTGGTTCCGCGCCGTTCCCCCCCACCCTGGATTCGGTTCCGCCGTCCGCACATCCATGTCTCTCTGCGTCTCTCTCGCTCCATCCGCGACACCGCTGTCTCGCATCTCTCGCTTGCCACTTCGCCAATCTTCGCCACTATGGCGTCAACAGCTTGACTGGTAACAGCCAAGGGCGCTATCTCGCGACAAGCCACCCCTCGTGCGTTCTCCAGTTATGCCGCATGTCCGCTGACGGATTCATCACCTTAGGTGCCACGTGGAATTCCAAAGCCCGCACGCGTTGACTCCCCTCCGCTCTTCCTTACCCTCCCGCCCCCCTGTCCCCGTTCCTCTGCGCGTTCCTCCCTCCGCCAGCGGGCGGGGCGCAACTCTTCCGCCATCCGCATGGTCCCGCCAGTCGCCGCACGGGTCGCCGCTGCAGGGGCTTCGGGGGCATGGCAGGGGGGAAGGGGAAGGGGGCGGGGCGCGGACTTGGGGGAGGAGGAGCGTGGGGGGTAAGAGGGGGGGAGTGGCGCGGGCGAGCAGTGGTGGAGGGGAAGAGAAGCGCAAAGATGGGCTGGCGGAAGAGGGGGAGCGAATGAGCACCACCCAGGTCTGTTGGGGACTGTTGGGCTGGGGCTTATGGCATGCATGGTGTATGTTGTATGCCACACTATCTCCACCTCTGCCAACCCGCTTTCTCTCCCCTGTTCCCCACATTCAGTCTCCCTCCCACCCTTTCCACCTCCGTCCTCCCTCCTCCCCTCCCCCTGGATTCTCGCTCTCTGCCTCCTCCCCACGGCCCTACCCCCTCTCAGCGCATAATGGCGGCGCTGCCAGCGGGGGAGCAGGCGGGGGGGGCGGGGGGGCAGGTGACATACGCGGACCTGCAGAGGGCGGACGCCGCGTGGCTCGCCCTGCGCTCCGCCCCGCCTGGTGCGTGCCCACCTTGCTCCCTCCCTCGCTGCACCGCACCGCATCAGCAATGGAATTCGTCTCGCATGTGCCGTGCCTCCCCTTGTGCTCACACCACCACCCCGCCATGCCACGCGTCCGTCACCACGTGCCAGGCCCTCCCACTGCTGCCGCCCCGCAAGTCGTCGTGCGCAAGCCTGGGAAAAGCAGCAGCAGCGGCAGTGAGGGAGGAGGGGCGGCGGGGGCGGCGTCGGAGGTGGAGGTGGTGGTGTGCGGGGGCACGCTGGGCGTGTTCGTGGCGGTGAGCCTGGCGCTGCGAGGGCAGCGCGTGGCCATCGTGGAGCGCGGCACTCTGCGCGGGGTATGTGGGGCCAAGTGGAGGACACGGGTGGTTGGATTGGAGGCGTAAAGTGGGAGAATTAGAAGGTTGGGTGATGGATAAAAGTTTGTGAAGGGTATGGGGAGGAATCCAAGGGGTGGGAGTGAGGTCACAAAGTGTTTGCCTGATGGCATGGGATTGGGGCCACGCCACGCTGAATGCATCACCCATCGTCCTACTCTTCTGCACTCCTGGGCCCTGCCTTGCACTCCTGCCCCTCGGTCTACCCCTGTGCGCCCCGTGTGTGAGCACTGCAGCGCGCCCAGGAGTGGAACGTGTCACGGAGGGAGGTGCAGGAGCTGGTGGCGATGGGCGTGCTCACAGCGGGCGAGGTGGAGGACGCCATCGCTGTCACCTTCAACCCCGTGAGGCCACTGCTCTCTTCACAGTAGTTGGTGAAGATAATTCAGGCTATGGTTGATAAGCGAATTCTCTCACCCCATGTGTGCCTGCCTCGCTGCGTTCTGCTGTGCACCCTCACCACCCTTGTCTTGTCCCTCACCACCCTTGTCTTGTCCCTCACCGCCCTTGTCTTGTCCCTCACCACCCTTGTCTTGTCCCTCACCGCCCTTGTCTTGTCCCTCACCACCCTTGTCTTGTCCCTCACCGCCCTTGTCTTGTCCCTCACCGCCCTTGTCTTGTCCCTCACCGCCCTTGTCTTGTCCCTCACCGCCCTTGTCTTGTCCCTCACCGCCCTTGTCTTGTCCCTCACCGCCCTTGTCTTGTCCCTCACCGCCCTTGTCTTGTCCCTCACCGCCCTTGTCTTATCCCTCACCGCCCTTGTCCCCCAGTGTCGGTGTGGCTTTGCGGGCGGCGAGGACATGTGGGTGAGGGACATCCTCAACCTCGGCATCTCGTCAGTGCCCTCCCTGCTGCCCTTGCTATGCCCTGCCATTCCATGTGCCATGCCGTGCCATGCCATGCCACGCTTTCATGTCATGTTAGCAGTCAGCAGGCTTCATGCCAACGCTTATCACAGCCTTTTCAAACTCGAGCCTCAGCAGCTGTGCTGCCCCAAAGCCTCTTGCACTGCCTCTTTACTTTGAATCCACAGTCCTGCTGACAGCCAACGCAACGAACCTCCACCAGAAGCACCTGCATGCATCAGGACCCCTTCAGTCCACACCTTCTCTGCCGCCTCCTGCCTCCTGCCTCACTCTTCAACTATTACCCCCTCCCGTCGTCTCCTGCTCCCCACCCTTTTCCAACCCTCCTTTCGCGCCTGTCTCTCTCTCCCTGCTTTACGGGTGGCGGAGCAGCCCAGCGAGGCTGATAGAGGCGGCGAAGCAGCGATTCCTCGCCCTGGGGGGCGTGCTGCTGGAGGGAGTGGCGCTCGCCTCCGTGCATGTCCATGATGACGCTGCTGTGCGTGCCTCACCTCCCCCTGCCTGCAATTGCACAGCCTGTGAATGCATGCTCTGCCCAAAGTGCTCTTGATTTGTGTGCGAGGACTATAACGGGTGTGTCCTTATCTCCACACCACAAGCACAGCACCCTGTGCGTTCTCACCCCTCGCATCGTGCTTCCATCTCGGCTCACGGACGTTCTTTCATTGGCCGCCTCCCAAACCCGCCACACTGACTGCCTCCATCAGGTGCTCCACTTTGCAGACCCAGCCGTGCCGCCCCTGAAAGCGCGGCTGGTGGTGGACGCCATGGGGCACGCCTCGCCCATCGTGCGCCAGGTGGGTGCCCGTGACGCCCTTGCTGGGTATAGCTGTCATGCGGGTTACGCCCTGAATATGCCCTTGATGCTCAACGATGTGCGCACAGGTAAATTCTGCAAGGCATCCTACAGAGGCCAGTAGCCCTCATGAGGCTGGTCACAGTGCATTAGTATGTGAGTGCTCACATGCTCAGATCGTCTCATGTTGTTCCACTCATAGCTCACTATCTCAGTGGAGTGTCTATGCCCTGCGCCTCTGCCCTGCACCTGTGCCCTCTGCCCTGCACCTGTGCCCTCTGCCCTGCACCTTTGCCCCGTGTCCTGTGTCCTGCGCCTTGTGCCTTATGTGTTGTGCCCTGTGTGTGCGAGGCAGGCACGGTGGGGGCAAAAGCCGGATGGAGTGTGCCTAGTGGTGGGCACGTGTGCGCGTGGCTTCCCCCCCGAGGCCAACACCACGGGGGACATCATCTTCACCACCTCGCCCACCATCTCCCTCGGCAAATCGCCGCTGCAGCTCTTCTGGGAGGTGCGCATGGGCCAACTGTTGCTACCACTGCCGGGTTTTGTACATGACGTCCTCTACAAACTTGACGGCACGATTGACCAGTGTCTACGTGCGCTTGGGGGTGCACATCAGCATTGACCCGTGGTGTGGCATGGCTTGACAGTAGGACTGTCCGTTGATTCTCTTCTTCCACTTCCCCGTGGTTTCTGAGCAGGCCTGTCTGTGTGCCATGCCTGGACATCTCACGACGCCATGAATTTCTGAAGGAGGCAACTGAATGTCTGAGTACCTTGATGAGCGACGTTTTCTTATTTCCAAGGCCATGTATGCCGCTCCTTGCATGCCCTCCCCCCACCTCACCTCCTCTTCCCGCTGCCCTCAGGCGTTCCCATCGGGGTCGGGTCCCAGTGACCGCACAGCGTACATGTTCTCCTACATGGACGCGCAGCCTGAGCGCCCGTCCCTGGAGGCCATGCTGGAGCTGTACTGGCAGCTCATGCCGCCCTACCAGGTCAGCTGCTGTGCTGTGCTGGTAAACCATGTGTGGCAGGGCGACGAACGGCATGTGTGGAATGGCGTTGACTCCATTGACTACGTGTGTGGCAGGGCATTGACTCCATTGACTGCGTGTGTGGCAAGGCGTTGACTCCATTGACTGCGTGTGTGGCAGGGCGTTCACTCCACTGACTGTGTGTGTGGCAGGGCATTGACTCCATTGACTCAGTGGAGGTGCAGCGAGTGCTCTTCGGCTTCTTCCCCACCTTCCGTGACAGCCCTCTCCGCCCCGCCTTTGACCGCGTCATCCAGGTGCCCTCACCGCTCATCACCTCACCTCACCTCACCTCACCTCACCTCACCTCACCTCACCTCCACCTGACCTCGACTCACCTCACCGTCTGAAACGTTTTTGAGAATTCTCAAAAGTCCTCACCTCACCCCACATGGCCTCACCTCTCAGAGAATCCATAGAAGCCAATCTCAGCAGTAGTTGGTTTGTTTCTGAAGTGATTCGCAGAAGATTGTTGTACGGCATTCTTGCGCTGCCCTCCCTGCGTGATTCGCTGCGTGCTGTGTGCGGGGCCATGCCATGCGGGCGGGCATGCATGCAGGTGGGCGACGCCAGTGGCATCCAGTCGCCACTCTCCTTCGGTGGCTTGGGCGCCATCACTCGCCACCTCGGCCGCATCACTGACGGTCAGCCCCATGCTGCTGCTCCCTCCCCTGTTCCCCTGCTCTGCCGTCTCATGCCATCACATGCCATCATGTTGCATCACCACTTCTTATTGCAAGTCCCAATACGCATTGCAGTTGATTTCCCATGCCGTGCTTCTCCTTCCTCTCTCTCCTGCCGGTGTCGAATCCCTCCTCACCGGCCTGCCTGCAGGTCTGGTGGACGCCTTGAGTGCGGACCTGCTCACCCGAGATGCGCTTGCTAGCATCAACCCATACCAGGTGCATCCACCCGTACCAGGTGCATCAACCCATACCAGGTGCATCAACCCGTACCAGGTGCATCCACCCGTACCAGGTGCATCAACCCGTACCAGGTGCGTCAACCCGTACCAGGTGCATCCACCCGTACCAGGCGCATCCACCCGTACCAGGTGCATCCACCCGTACCAGGTGCATCCACCCGTACCAGGCGCATCCACCCGTACCAGGTGCGTCAACCCGTACCAGGTGCGTCCACCCGTACCAGGTGCATCCACCCGTACCAGGCGCATCCACCCGTACCAGGTGCATCCACCCGTACCAGGTGCATCCACCCGTACCAGGCGCATCCACCCGTACCAGGTGCGTCAACCCGTACCAGGTGCGTCCACCCGTACCAGGTGCATCCACCCGTACCAGGTGCGTCAACCCGTACCAGGTGCATCCACCCGTACCAGGTGCATCCACCCGTACCAGGTGCATCCACCCGTACCAGGTGCATCCACCTCACAACACAAAACTGACAATGCAAGCCCCATTATGTTGAACCTGACACGCATCGCTCCCATGCCCCTCGCCTCCTCTCCCCCTTCCCATTCCCGCCCCTTGCGCCCTAAATCCTGAACAGCACGGCTTGTGACGCGCCTCAAAGGTATTATGTTTTCCCCTTTCCCCGCCCCTGGCAGCCGAACCTGAGTGGCGCGTGGCTGCTGCAGCGCGCCATGTCAGCGCGCGTGGGGTCAACCCCTCCGCCTGACTTCATCAACACCCTGCTCGCCACCAACTTTGCCTGCATGCAGGTCATGCTCGTGTCATGTCATGTGCTGTGCTGCTGCCTCTGCTGCCGCTGCTCATGCTGCCATGCCTGCACATTTATCGCATCACTCTCCCCAAGCTCTGCTCTCCCTGCTCGTCCCGTCTGGACCATGCATCCCATGCAGACCATGCATCCCATGCAGACCATGCATCCCATGCTCTTCCATGCATCCCATGCTCTTCCATGCATCCCATGCTCTTCCATGCATCCCATGCTCTTCCATGCATCCCATGCTCTTCCATGCATCCCATGCTCTTCCATGCATCCCATGCTCTTCCATGCATCCCATGCTCTTCCATGCATCCCATGCTCTTCCATGCATCCCATGCTCTTCCATGCATCCCATGCTCTTCCATGCATCCCATGCTCTTCCATGCATCCCATGCTCTTCCATGCATCCCATGCTCTTCCATGCATCCCATGCTCTTCCATGCATCCCATGCTCTTCCATGCATCCCATGCTCTTCCATGCATCCCATGCTCTTCCATGCATCCCATGCTCTTCCATGCATCCCATGCTCTTCCATGCATCCCATGCTCTTCCATGCATCCCATGCTCTTCCATTCTTGTCCCCTCCACCCTCCCCTCCTGCTTGCCCTCTCTCCTTTCCTCCGTCTCTCCCGCACCGCTCCCTCCATCAGAAGCTAGGCGACCCCGTCGTACGGCCGTTCCTGCAGGTCCGTGTGCCACACCTGCACCTCACTGCCACACCTGCACCTCACTGCCATGCCGTGCAGCACCCTTGCACCCATCACCTTGCCTCACCACAACTTCCACGCATCAAAGCACAGCATGATAATAAACCGCCATGCTCCCTATTTCTTCCTGTTCCTACCTCTCACTTGCCTCCCCTATTGTTCCTCTTCTCTTCCCCTTTTTCCTTTCGCCATTCTCCAACACCCCCCCTGCGTGCGTGCACCAGGACGTGACGCAGTTCGCCCCCCTGGCGCTCACGATGGGCTCCATGGTCGTCACGCGCCCCTCGCTGCTGCCCACCATCTTCCTGCAGGTGCCTTTCAACTCGCGTTTTCAGCCTCAGGGTTTCAGGTTACGGCCTAGGTCTGCAAGCATTGTGCTGCAGGCGAGGCGTAGGAGATTGATATCCACCTGTGCCCCATGTTGTGCCTCAACACACCACACCACACCACGCCACGCCATGCCATGTGCTCTCCTTCTGTGCCGCCACTAGCGCCGCTATCGCCCTTCACATCCACGCCATCCCTCATCACTGCCTCGCCCACTCACCCCCGCCCACGTGCCATCCACCCGTGTTTCTCTCCCCTCTCACCAGGTGGGCCCCGTGCCCCTACTGGACTGGCTGCAGCACTTCATCGCTCTCGCTGCATTCTCTACTCTGCACCACCTCGCCTCCGCCCTCTCTCTCAGGTGCCTCTCTCCCTCAGGTGCTGCTTTCCCTCAGATGTTTCCTTCAGACGTCTCTCCTCAGATGTTGCTCGCCCTCTGCTGGCCCATGCTAATGCCCCCTGCCATGCTTTCCCTCCCCCCTCATCCCATCTCCCTGCTGCCAATCCCACCCACCCCTCCCACCTGCAGCGAGGCCGTGGCCTCGCTGCCGCCCCGCCAGCGCTTCTTCTGGCGCCGCCGCCTCGAGGCCTGGCAGTTTGGGTCGGGGCTCGACTACCACCTCTAGCTCTCTTGTGCTCAGCAAACCAGCTGTACAAAGTGGAGTTTATTAACGGATTGTCTATTCTTTATTTATCACATGTACAAACACCGTTAGACACCACTGGCCCAATAAGAAGGACCAGAACATGCACCATTCTTTCATGCACACGACACGAACCAAGGGCACACTATGTGCAACAAGGCGCACATTGATGACGGGGGTTCCAAACAGAGGGGAGGGGGCCCCTTGAGTTGTTTGATGCGGGGTGGGTGGGTGGGGCGAGAGTCAGAGCAGTGCAGGCGGCAGGGGGGTGAGGGGTGGGCGAACGATGTCTTCCTGGTGGGCGAAGGAGGGGTTGAGGAAGGAGAGCAGCCCCTCCCTGAGCAGCATGGGGCCCCACGGGGTGTGCGTCACACACTCGGGCCGTGGCACCGGGGCACAAGCAGGCCTGCTGTGCGGCTGCTGGGATGAGGAGCTTTCATTGGGGTCGTGGGAGGAGGAGGAAGGGGGTGCGCGCATGAAGGCGCGCGTGGGGTGCAGGCAGGCGGCGGCAGCGGGGGGAGGGAGGTCGAGGGCCTTGAGCCAGCCCTTGAGGCGGAAGAGCGCCTCCAGCTTGCCGTGCACGTCCCCCCCGTGCGTTGTTATCTGCACCCGCCTCACCACCCGCTGCACTGCAGGGGGAAGGGAGGCAGCATGGGGAATTGAAAAGCGGGCCAGTGGGCAGAATGAGGAAGAGCGAGGGTTATTACTGCTGAGTAAGATTGGCCACGTGGTACCACCTAAGGCAGCACAACTGTTGAAGCGCATCAGCATGCAAGTACAAGGATAGGCCAGAGGTATTCACAGGACACAGCTCACTTGCGCCGCATGGCATGGCTTGCACCCCCTAGCATGGAAGAGCTGTTGAAGCAATGAAACCATGGGCATAGCGCAGGAGGGGTTAGGGCAGAAGCAAGGGAGCAACCGTGGGTGAAGGCGTCGGGGTCATCGAAGGCAAACTTCTCCGCTCGGTCAGCATCGATGTCCAACAGGTCGCAGCGTGGCAGCCCCGCCAGCACATCGCCCACCGTTGCCCACCTGCCTGGCTCCCTCTCCTTCACCTCTCCGCCCCCTGCTCACACAGGGCACACGCGGAGGGAATGGCGCATGGGTGAGTGAGTGAGACAAATATGTTAATGAGGGGTTGCAGGGCCAAGGTTGAAAGGGACTGAAAGAGCAATTTGGAAGGTGGGGGCACGACCAAGGGCGAGTACGAGAAGTAGGAGAGGCGTTACCAAGGGCAAGGGGGATGTGAGTGAAGTGTGGGACGGCATTGAGGCGAGCCAGGGCGTGCAGCTGCTTGGGCATGTCGGGATGCACCACCACCAGCGCCATGGCGTCGTATGGCCGCACCTGCCTGCCGGGAGAGGGGAGAGAGTAAAGAGGCAGGGCGCGACAGGCAAAGGAGCAAAGGAGGGGGAGTCAGGGAGAGAGACACAGAAGAACAGCTGCTCAGAGGGAGTTGGGAAAAGAATGGTGGGGTCAAGAGCAGATACTGAGTGGTCTTGAGGCAGGGCACATGGAGTTACCTGTAGGCGTGGGCAGCAGCAAAGGCAGTCATGGCGTGCAGCAGCGGCCCAGCAGACACCACCGTGAACCGCCCCTCGCCCCCCTGCTTCTCCGCGCTCCCCCCATGGGCCACTGCTGCAGCGGGCAGCAGGTGGGAGCGCAGCACGGCCTCCAGCGCGTCCAGCAGCTCCACGTACGCCCCGTCTGCCGATGGCAGGTACCCTGCGTACTCCCCCGCCGCTGCCCGTCCCGCCCCGCTGCCTGCACTGCCACCCTCCCTGCCCGCACTCCCATCCTCCCCGTGTGCCGCCCCGCCATGTGCGCTCGCCCCGACAGGGTCCACACTCACCCCCCCCGGGTGGGCGTCCGCCTGCTGCTCGCGGGCCAGGTGCGCCGCACACACGCGCTGCCGTGACTCCACCACCGGAATCTCCTCCTCCCACCCGCCCTCGCTGCCGCCCTCCTCCCACGCCCCGCTCACCACCCTCGCATCGTCACTCACCTCCTCCTCGCCCCCACCCCCCTCCGCACTCCCCACCTGCACCTCTCCTGCCCCCTGCGCGCCAGGGTGGGCGAGGTGGGGGCAGAGCCACTCGAAGAAGGCGGTGGCGCCCAGCCAGTCGTGCAGCAGCCCGGGCTGGAAGGCCGCGGAGTGCTGCGCCAGCAGGTGCACGAACGCGTGCTGCTGCAGCTGCACGTGCGGCGCCAATGGGTTCAGCAGTGGTGGCAGCGCGGGGGGCAGTGGGCTGTCAGGCTGGCGGAGGAGGAAAACGCAGAGAGGAAGAGGGACCGTTTAAGAGAGAGGTGGAAGTCAGAAGACGGCTTGGGTTTGGGGTGCTTGCATTGCAAGGGCGCTGCAAATGGCGATTGTTCCTGGTGCAAGCAGGTTGTTCAGTGAAAGGCGAAAGTGCGCAGGGGAGCGAAGCAGGTGGGATGAAGTGAAGTGTGCCAGCAGTGCGGCAGAGTGGGCGACAAGGAGGCGTCAGGAGGCAAGGCGGCGGGAGGGAGGAAGTTACCTGGAAGTAGTCAGTTAGCGGGCGGTGGATGAGCGGTACTGGCAGGGGCTGCGATGCCACGCCACATGGCAGCACGGGGGGAATGGGCAGGGCCAGGATAGCATAGGGGGAGCAGAGGGGGAGCAGAGAGGCACACATGAGGCGAGGACAACCGTGGCAAGCAAGGTCGGCGCCAAGACTCATGCGCTCTGTCGTGGCCGACGCATGACCTGCCGGGCGCAGCGCCGCAGCGACGCACGAAGCGCAGCAGGCGCGCTCGTGGAGCGGGGTCACACGCTTCCCTCGCACTCGCGTACAGAGTTCGTGCTGTTGCTAGTGCCGCTGGCACGCGCGCAGCAGCAGCGCGCGCAAATGTGCGATCTACGTTCTGCCAGCATGCGAGCGGCGCGAAGAGGAGCACGGTGCGAATACCTGTTGAAGAAAGGGCGAGCGTAACGACGATGCTGGCGGCGATGGCGCGGAGAGGAGAGAGGGAGAGAGTGGAAGATGAAAGCGAGCGACTCCGATCATTACAACAGCCGCCAATGCCACCAGCAGAGCGCCTCGACTGCGCTGCAGAATCGCAGCCAACGGCCTCCGCTGGCGAGCAGCAGGAGCCATGGGATGTGCGGAGATTGCAGCGATCCATGCTGGTTACGGAATCTGTTGATAGCAGCCTGGCGCGTCACGGATTCCGTAATACACACGCGCTACAAGGAGCTGGGAAGTAAACACTATGGCAGAAAGGACAGTATTTTCTTAAAACGTGGAGATATCTGATTAAGTTTCATGCGTAGTTTACACGTATGTTTTTCCAGTCAAAGCGAAAGATAATGCCATATTTAGTTTGACTGTCCGGATAAATGACAGCTCGTTCATGAAAAATTAAGGCTTAGCAGAATGAGAAGTGCATATTTTTTTGGTGTGTTAATGAACTCTTGGGGAGTCATGAGCGTACACTGTGCAGTGTCCATGTCGGATCAGCGGACCCGGCTCGAAACAGCAGCATGCGCGTGGGCGACTATCAAGGCAACAGCACGAGCTTTCGTGCTCAATTAGGGTTTTAGTCGCTTGATAGCTGCTCTGAGGAGTCGCAGGTGGTTCTACCGGTCTGGATGCAAACGCGCTTCTAGGAAATGCCAGCGGTGGTCACTGGCCACCCAAACATGGCGACAACAGAAGTGCAGGCGGCACAGCAGCGCGCTGTCGCGCTGTCCATGTTTCGTCAGTGGATAATCAACGCCCTGCTGTCCAAGTCTAGAGTACGTGCCCCAGAAGCCGCTACCTGCTCGTAAACGCCTCAACGTTCTCTATATTTCTCGCCGTCTTCGTCGAACCGCGCCCATGGCCGCACATGCATGTACTCGAGCAGATCGGGAAGACTGATGTGTCTTCTCGCGGCACATGTCGTGGCGCATGGAGTATACGCGCGCGTCTTCGTATCAACAACATAAGTTCTTTCGTAGCTCACTCCAATTGCGCTGCTGTGTCATGATGCGTGTCAGGGCGACGGCACGGCGTACTGGCGGCTCATTCAAGAGATCGATCAAATTCACGCCGATCCGGTGCGTTTTCCCTCGCATGTCCCTTTCGACGCGTTTTCCGCCTCTTCGCCTCATTCGTATCCATCGTCTCCATGTCGTCCCGCCACCACGCTCGCTTTGAGGTCGTACCGTTCTCCTCCTATCTGGATGCGCCTACTGGCTAATGCTTGTCCCCGCAGCCGCCTTTGGGGGCATAGTACTCGTGCATGCGAACAAGTTTCGCATCGTGAAAGTGCATATTTTGTTGTTTTTATTCGTTCCACGCGGCTCTTTCGTGTGCGTGTGGCTGGCAGGCGAAGCTGCGGGTCTTTTCGCAGTGCGTCTCCTACTTCGACCCGGACGTGCACGAGGCGCTGCTCATTCAGGTGCGCTGCTCATTCAGGTGCGCTGCAGGTGAAGCCCTTTTCTTAGTGTCTCGCGCCATCGCCTCTTGCTCGTACCATGCAGTGGCATGGTGAGAGCAGAGGTTTCCTCACTCCACCTTGTGGCCGCAAGCATTCGGTTTCCATTTTCTCTTGCGCGTTCTCATCACGTTCTGCCTCCCTCGCCCTGCTCCGCGACCAGTTGCTGGGTGTGAGCCTGTGGACGTGCAACGCGGAGGTGGCGGCGGCCATCATCGACTTCTGCACCAACCTCGTGAGCCGCCACCGCCTCTCGTCTGCCCCTTCACCTCGCCTCGCAGCCGGTTTGCAAGCTCGCGTTTGCCCATTCTCTCGCTTCATCCACCCCGTATGTGCATCCGTGGCGTCGTCAAGCTCCCTGTTCTCATGGATATATCGTCCATGCATATGACCCTGTTCATCTCTGGCTAGTCGCTCACGTCCGAGGTGCTATGCACCTCTGCATTCACCGCACTGCGCCCATGGTATGGCGGTTGAATTGGCCCGACTCGTGAAGGATGGCGCTGCAATGCGTGTTGCAGTGCAGCGCTGGTGCTTTGAATCGCGGTGTGCATCACTGTTCTGGTACATTGCCGTGCGATGTGGTGGTTGGTGGCGTGTTGCAGTGAGAGTGAGAGAGAGCCGCTGAGTGGCCACGGATGACACTCGGTTCTCTTGCAAGCTGCTGTGAAGCTGAAGCTGGAAAGCAGCGGAAAGGGTTAGTGGATGGATGGTGCTCTTGCACAGGACCCCACAAGCACCTTCACTCTCTCAAGCCCACTGGTAGTATCACCCAACGGTGGCCTCGTGGCTCTGCCCAGTGCCCACACCGCCATACCATGTTAGCACAAAGAACCAGCTGTGTAATCAGCGCGGTTTGAGGTTTTGAAGCATGTCGTTAGCAGCGCATGCAGCACCTCGATCGCAGTATAGCGTGCCCAGCATGAAATGAAACACTTTGAGGAGTTTAGCTTGTCTGCAGAAACACGTTCCCACTGCCCAAGCGCGTCCAGCTAGGTATGCATGCCATCCAACGTGCTCGTAACTCCTTCTCCAGCTTGATTTCTGTTCGCAATCATATCTCTGTTCATGCTTGCCAGAAAACTTGTTTTTGATGGCTAGCGTGGCCCCTGGCACTCGCGGATTGCAGATTGAACTTCTAGTTTTGTGCCTGTCCGTGTGCGTGCCCTTTTGTCCCCCATGCTGGCACAGGCATCGGCCAACAGCGCGTGTCTACCGGTGGCGCTGGACATCCTCGTGCGCAACCTCATGCCGCCCTCCTGCGGTGTGCCCGCCTTCATGGGCGCGCACCCGCCCAAGCTGCCCGCCTCCGCCCACCCAGGCGCGCCAGGGGGGGCAGTGGCGGCGATAGTGGCGGCCAAGGCGCGCAAGGGCGAGGAGCTGCGGCGGCAGGGCGAGGTGCTGCGGTGGGTGGTGGGCGCCGCCTCGCGCATCTGCCGCCTCGTGCCCACCGCCTCCAGCCGCCTGCTGCCCCTCCTGCTGCAGCGCATGCCGCACAAGCGCGTCGAGAAAGAGGTTCGTGTGAGAGGCCCTAACATGCTCGTGCTGCACTGCGTCTTAGGTGGTCTCTGGAAATGAGTGTCAAGCTTTGATGTGCTGCCCGCCTGCTTCTAACTTCGTTTTTCTCCTCCTTTCGGCCCTGCCATCCTCACCCCCCTTCCGTTCTGTGACTGCCCTCGTGCCCCTGTCCACCCACGCTGCTGTTGCTCCTGGCCCCTGCTCCCTGCTCCGCGGTGGTTGGTGGTGGCACAGTTCCAGTGCGTGTACGTGGCGGGCATGTTTGCGCTGGCGGAGGCGGAGGAGGGCGAGACGGTGAGGGACAGCATCCTGGCGGCCGTCGTGGACCACCTCATCCAGATCGATGTGCGCCCCTCTCACCCGCCCACCCACTCTACCACCCACTCTGCTCCTCTGCCTTGGGCTTTCTGCTCCGCCCACTTCTCTTCCCATCCCATGTACATGCATGCACGCCTGCTGTCATGCACCATCTTGCTCTTGTGGCACACACACTAGCATCCTAAAACCATCCCACATGTCCACCCCGGTTGTTGACGTTGCGGCACATTTCAGGTGGAGATTCGGTGGGAGGACATTTCATCGGATGCAGCTGTCGTCGCAACAAGAAATCCTGCCGACTCAGGCCACGCGGCAGCAGCAGCAGCAGCGGCGGCGGCGGGGGCAGCAGCGGGGGCAGCAGCGGGGGCGGGGGCAGCGGCGGGGGCGAGTCGGGTGTACATGTTCCACATGGACCTGCACGACTCCGCTGCTCACGCCGCCCTCTCTGCTGCCAGCCACGCTGCAGCTTTTGAGACTGGTGTGCCGGGTAGTGAGGCACGGCACGGGTTGCTGCTGCCATGCAGTGGTGGTGGTGGGGGAGCCAACAGCAGCGGGGGGCCAGCAGCAGCAGCAGCAGCAGCAGGAGCAGCAGTGGACGAGATGGCGGAGAAGATGGACGCGCTGATGGACCTCACCTTCCAGCACATCCGCGCCCGCTCCCACGCCCACCAGCTGCCCCAGGTGCTGCTCGCCCCACGCCACACCCCCTGCTGCTACCCTGCCTGCCACACCCCCTGCCGCTGCCACCACACCCCCTGCCGCTGCCACCACACCCCCTGCTGTTCCCCCCACGCCCCCTGCTTCCCTACACTCCCCGTTGCTGCCACCCCCCTGCTGATGACGCATCCATCTCCGAGCAGTGCCCTGCATATGTGCTGTGCTCCATGGCAGCGTGCAGAGCAACATCATACATACCCGCACTCATCCCATGCTCATGGTCACCTTGAATCCTGCCCTGTGTCATGGCGCTGCGCTGCCTGCCCATGTGACCACACTCCTGTCTGACTCATATCATTTGGCATGAGCAGGTCTACGAAGCTTTGATTCGCTCCTTTGACTCAACGATACTCGACACGTACAAGTCCAAATTCACCCAGGTAAGGTCTAGCGCCCTTTTCAAACAGTTTCCATTAATAGTTGAGGTCATCATCGTGTGTCTCTTACCTTGAATCCCCTCCTTCCCCCCTATGCCCGTTGGTCGTTTTCAAGCCTCTAGCTGTCATGTCACTGGAGCATCCGCTCACTTTAAAAACCACGAGCTGGCATCCCGTCTCAGTCATGCATGACCGTTTCGCTCCAGATTTGGGATAACTAGGTCACAGGGTGATCGCTCTATCTGCTCTTTGCTGTGCTCCTGCTCCCCCCCCCCCTGCAGTTCCTGCTCTTCTTCGCATGCTCCCTCAACCCCGCCTCCCTGGCGGCTGCCTTCGCCTCTCATCTCACCGACATCCTCACATCGACCTCACGCTCCCTCAACTCAAGGTGAGCCGATTGCGCTCACTGCACGCCAAAGACAGCGCTTCCCGCATGCTGTTGGGATCATGGCGTGCTTGTGTTCCAGTAAAAGCAAGTCAGTGATGTGCCACTGCTAGTATTCTGTGCATGCAGCGGATAGCCAGATCTATGCTTCCAGCACATGATTGTGCCGTTTTCTTGCCTTTTTCATTCTCTCTCACCCCTCGCCCTTTCAGAATGTCTGCTGCAGCATATCTGGCCAGTTTCCTCGCGCGAGCATCCTTCATCCCACTCATGCACATCGTCTCCTCCCTCACTCGGTATTCCTCTCATCCACACCCTTTGCTCATCTCAATCTCTCACCAGCTCGGCATTCTCTTGAGAA